TTCGAACAGATTTAACGTTCATCTTGCTGCGTATATGCAACACTTGTTTTGTTGACTTCTGGTATTGAACTCAGAACACACACACACACCCAAAAAAAAAGCTTGATGTAGATAACTTTACATTTTTTTTTCGATATTTATTTTTGAACATTATTTAATCTTTTAAACAGTAAATGTTAAAAAAAAACAGCTTCATGCTGGTATGAAATAGCAAAACGAATTAAAATCCTTGTCAATAAAAATAGATCATGTATTTAACTTTTAATTTTTTTCAAATAGTTAGAAATCACTACTAAAGGTTTTATATTAGATTTTAAGTCATGGACACTTTATGGCTCCTTTTGTTTCATTCAGCGGCTTGCAGTTTCAATTGGCTTAAAAAAAAACATTTTAAATATTAACTTCCTGGCTTAAAAAATTTTTTTTTCAATGAATAAAATATGATTTTCAAATAAATTTAATTATGAAATTTGGTTCATTAAAATTTTATTTATCTTTTTTTCCTCATTCAAAAATTTTGTTGGAAATTATACATACCTTTGCATAGAAAAATGAATTTAAAATATGGATTTAAGAATTCATGAATGTATGTCATTCCAATCTTTTTTTCCCCTTTTAATTCAATAAAAAAAATTTCATCCCGACAAAATCAATATTATAACAGTCCTCTTTTCAGAAAAATCTAATCAAGGAGTATATTTCAGGAATCTAAAAGCCTTTGAAAATATTTATGATTTGTAATTATAATTTATTTAAATAATGATTGAAATTATTGAGTTATACCCTCATCTGGCCAAATGTTACCCAATTGGTCAAGTTATATGGAAATTTCTCCTCGTTATTCAACTTTCTTATTGGTTAACATAGGAGACAAACTACTTTTTCAGCTGAACAGTTAAGGAAATATTTATGCTCTTCTTTGAATACTTTAAAATTTATCTTTACTTTTATTTCTTTTTAATAAATATTTCATGCCTTTGTTTAAACATCAGATTAGTAATACAATTTTAACTTAATTTTTCAGTGCATCCCAAAAAGTTGAAGAGACCTCTTCTCCTCTGGTACTGTTTTAATGTTTTGAACGGAAATATAACTATTGATTACATTAACAAAAACACTTTAAATTTGTCTTTCAGGGGAAAAAAACATTTTAATCACAAAATGAACTTGAAACAACGTAGGACTATAATACGTGTGGTTAATGGTCTTAATTGTTATTCAACTTACTGTTTTCGGTATTTCTTTTTTTTAAATATACTTTATTGACTATTTTGACCAAACTGTCATGTTGTTTTTCTATATTTTTGTTAAAGTCTAATTTATGTGGTATATTTGAGGTATCTAATTCAATATGAATTTACCAGTTTCAATTCCAGCAATTTTTTTAACCACCTATAGTTTGCTGTTTTATATACTAAATGAGAATCAGTGTCTGAAATTTATTTTAATGCATGCTAAATATTTTAAATCGTAAAAGTGTTCGAAGCTCTAAGGACATATTTTTCTTTTCCTCACATATATGTTTTGAAGTAAAATGTGTAACACATTTTAATGTGTTATTCTTTAAAATATAATTATAATTGGTTAACTTATTTTATTTAGTATATTAAAAAATCTGTTACCGTTTTATTTGTACTTCTGTTAAGCTACCTTGCTTATTTTGATTTGTGAAAATTATATAAAAATATATTATGTGTTTGTAACATTCCTCTGAAACATTCTAATTTGTTATTCCTTCAATTATATTTGTAAGTTTTTTGTTGATCATGCTATTCAAATAGTGCCTTTCTAATGCTAATGATTTTTAACATGATATTAGTAACACATTTTAATGTGTTATTCTTTAAAATTTAATTGTAATTGGTTAACTTATTTCATTTAGTATATTAAAAAATCTGTTTCCGTTTTATTTGTACTTCTGTTAAGCTACCTTGCTTATTTTGATTTGTGAAAAATTATATAAAAATATATGATTTGTTTGTAACATTCCTCTGAAACATTCTAATTTATTATTCCTTCATTTATATTTATAAGTTTTTTGTTGATCATGCTATTCAAATAGTGCCTTTTTAATGCTAATGATTTTTAACATGATATTATTATGTTCTATAGTTGCAAGCAATATGTTTATTCTCTTTTTTATGAATTAATTTTTTCTACCATAAATATCTTCAACTGTTGTTAAAGCTTCTGAATATTGAAATTTACAAGTTAATTACTTTTTTTACACTATAGTATTTTTTAAACCAAAAAAAATCTCTCCTTCTAATTTTTAGTGTGTTAATACTTGCTATATTCTTCCAATTAATTAGCCATTGTACTGCTACTTTTAAGCAAGTTAAATTTATTATTTGTCTGAATTATATTAATAGTTTGCTAATAGCTAATTAATAATTTGCGGATATTAATAATAGTTTCTCATCCATTAAGTCAAAGAAAATTTATTGGTTTTGAAAAAATTCATAATAAAATTAAATCCTAGTTGCATTGTATGTAAATTTGAGTACAAAATGTTCATGTTATTACAATTCGATTGATTGTTATTAAAATTTGATCATGTTATGATAAATTTCTGCCACTATTCTGGCCTTGGTTCATATCGAGGTACAGTAGAGAACCGATTATCCGGAACGATCGGGACCATCGCTATTCCGGATAACTGATTTTTCCCGTTTTCTGAATCAAAACCGTTTTTTTATGGTCAAACTCAACTAAAAAAAATATATATAATTAGAATAATTTTAAAAAACTCTTACTTCTTTTGACAGTGTAGGGAACTGATGATTATTTCTAAAATGATGGTAAACATCTTTGAAAAAAGAAAGAAGAATTCTGAAATCGTTTGAGGGGAAAAAAATGGTGGGAAAATGTATCAAATTTCGTTCTGGTTTTCTGATTTCCGGCTAAGAGGTTCTATACTGTATTTAACATTGTTTGCTACTTTATTTGATACAAATGTGTTTCTAATATTTATTTAAAACTTTTTCTTGTAACGGGAAAATGGCATTAACATGCATAAATCAAAATGCTTTAAAAGAATATTAATTGTTTATTTTGTGTTTTTCATTTTAGGTTTTAAAAAAAGTTTAGCTTTAAGTTTATTGAAGTGCAAATTGTGTAATGTGTCATTTACATGTTAAAATAAAGTTGCTATTTTTTATAAACAACTGATAATATTTCATTATACTGTTTCTTTTTTTATACATCAGTCATTTACAATTATGTATCTGTGAATTCTGTATCTGTTGATATGTATCTGTGAATTATTTTTAGAACAGTCTTTGCTGGAAGTCGTTTGATCACTTTGATTAGATTATATACAGTTACATATGATACAGAATAGTCAATTTCAGCTCCAACCTTAAACACATTTAAGAAATTTTAAAACATATTTAGCATCTTCCAGAGAAAGTAATGTTATGCCCATATGTCTATCATTGCAATATCTCTATGCGCAATATTTCAAAATTTTTAATTTATAAAAATCTTGCCTATTTAGAATCTTGTGCAGAATTTTTTGAGTGCATCTCATTTAAATTTTAACCATATCAGTTTTCATTTCTTACTGAACTAATCAGTTAGCATTTATTCATAACTAATCATTTAATTTTATATTTCTTAAAAAACTAACTTTAAAGATTATACCCAATCAGATTTCTGTTAATAAAAAAACTGGAAGAATACTTTAGGAAGAGAGAAAGTGGTTAAATCATTGATGCCATGACGTAAATGTTTAAAATTACTATGTTACCTTCAGTGTTTATTGTATTGCTTTTCCAGGGGAATTTACTGAATTTTAATTCAATTTGTGTAGGAATAACTTTATACAACTGAACATTTTTAACAATAACTTTGTGATGACTAAAGTTCTATTTTGTTGCTTTTTGTCTGAAAGTAAACTCATTTATAATTTTTAGTGATTATTCAACATCTTCTATACAACAGGGCTTGCCAAACCTTCTCAGACACCCTAGGTAAAAAAAGTTTGTCTGCCCTATATATATATATGTATATANTATATATATATATATGCAAATAATGAGTGATATGTAAAAGGCTAATAGTTTATAATTTGTTAGAAGAAAAAATTAGAATAATTTATTTTCTGGAAAACAATAATCTAAACAAGGTTTTTAAACCGAAATTTAAAAAAACCTGACAAATGAAACGAATTGCACAAAATTTTAAAATATAAATTGAGAAATTTTTATTTGTCATTGTATATTCTAAGAAATATTTATTGAATTTTCCAATTGTATGCAAATTTTATTTTTCACTAGAAACAGTACAAATTAAAAAAATTTTTTTAACATTTTTAAATAAATCAAGTTAAATTTTGTGCCCTTTTTTTCTGGTGCTCTACCATTAGAACGAAATGTGACCACCTAGTGGTAGGCGGTCGTTTACATTTTTCCTAATGGTAGGTCTGCCCTTGTCTTACGATGTTAATAATATTAAAGTTTTTTTATGCTATCTTATTGTTTATATGTTCAAAAATTAATTCAAATTTTAATAATATTCAGTAAAGTAAATTTACTTAGCTTGATGAATTCCATGTTTTATAATGATGATATTAAACCGTTGCCATTTTAATCCATTGTTGCTGCTGTAGAAGTTAATTTTTGTCTGTAGACAATATGGTATTCATCCATTCATGATGAGCATTTTTTAACTATCATTGATTCTTTTATGTACAGATAGATAAACTACTTCCTACCCTTTTATCAGTATATGCATTAATCAGCAATTTCTTTGACATTGTCCAGCAACCAGGCTTAAGATTAGATCAAAGGATAAAAAAAATTGTTCTAGTATGCATTTTCATGAAAAAACAGTATAAAATATCAAAACATAGACCTAAGAGAATAGAACCTTATTTTTGAAATACCTAAGACCTTATTTTAATAGTCATTAACATCCTCTTAGTTTGAATGCCTTATTTTAGTCTTTGACGTAATTTATTTTTCCATGTTGATTTACTTGTGTATTTTATATTTCAGAATCCAACCAAGAAACAAGCATTCATCACTGCTCTTTATGCAAATACAGCAGCAAGAAAAAAACTAATGTTAATAGACATTTTCGTTCTGTGCACTTTTATGAAAAGCCGTTCACGTGTGACGCTTGTATGAAAGTTTTTTCACGCAAGCACGATCTAAAGCGGCATAAGTTGAGACATGCCGGGAAAACGACACATTTATTTTTGTAACCCATATTTTCCCCCACCTCTCTTTCTACACTGCCAGGAAATCTGCCGTTTTGTTTGCTATACCGATAATTTCATTGACTATCTTACTGCAACTATAGCATATTTTTACAAAATAATTATTTTTACCATTATTTAAGGTTAGTGGCAGTTAATAACAATAGATGCTAACTTTCCAACTTTCATCAATACAAGTGTTCACCTTAGTTGTTTGATATTTGTTTTTGTGATTTCTAGAAGTGATGTTGGAATTCTTTATAGCTTAATTTAAAAATTTTCTGTTATTTTTTTTTCTTTTAAATTTTCTAAATTTTCCCAACATATTTTTGTCCATCTTCAATTGTTTGATATTTTTACTTTTTAGAAAATTCCTTTGAAATGTATGTTTTTTTAATTGAAACAGTTATATGTTATTGCTATCAGTATCTCGTTCTTTTAAGTGATTTAGGAAACTTATACAAAATAAAATAGATAAAGATGTGATTTGTAGAATTCTTCTGCCTGCTGGTTATCATCCACTTGCCCAGCCTAAAGTACTTCTCAATCAGGGTTTTGCTGTATCCCAAGGACTACCTCATTGCACAATTTTACATAATTCTAATTCACATAATAATGAACAGGGTAAGAACATTTAATCCACACTAAATTGTCGAAATACATATTGAATGAATTAATGAATGAAAATAATTTTAATTCACATAATAATGAATGTGATATGAACATTTAACCCACGTTAAAGTGTACAGTGTACAAAAAACACTCTCAATAACTTCGGGATTTCGGATCTTTACGTTCTAGGACTCCATGGTTCAAAGAGGTAACCTCAAATATGCTAATTAATTAGGGCAGATAATATTACATTATTTTAAATTATTTGCAAAAATTCTTTAATTCACTTAAAAAGTTTTCAAGATATAAATAAGCAAAAAATAGAATTAAGGGGTCCAAACTTTGAACCGCTCTCCTGCCCAAGCCATTGCGACCATATTCTCAAGATTAGAACTACCTTCTTTACTTTGGTGGTCAGTAATCCGAATTCGTCCAAAAAAGGGTATGTTTGTTGAGAAAAATTATGTTTTTGTGTCTGATTTTGTAACTTAAAATATTGTCTGCGCTAATTAATTAGCATGCTTGAGGTCCCCCCTTCAAATCATTACGAGTCCTAGAACGTAAAGACACATTATTCTGCGTCGTCCGTATTTTCTACTTACTGTATTTACGTATAATTTCATATTATATGATCAAAATACTAAATAATTTTAGACCTCATCAGAGAACTGTTTCCATTCAAGTGTGAAAGACAAAATGGCTACTTTTCTGAAGTAAAGAAAATTGCCAAAAACAGTACGATGCAGTTATTTCTGACAGCTTCAGTAAAAGGATTTTCAAAGAGTTTAGATAAAGGTTATCGTCAATAACAAGTTATACTCATAAAAGAATGGTTTTATATAGGGTTTTCAACAGTAAAACCATTTATTTTTAAAAATGTCCTCATTACATCCTGATCTCGTTAAAGTAAGGATCACAGTAAGTAAGTCTGACTGTATTTCATTATTAAGATTAATTTATCATAGTAGAAACCCAAATCAAAAATGTATCATTGTTTCTGAATTTCATAATGTAAAAGTAGTTATATGTAGTGTTTCATGCTTTTATTTTTCAGACTTCCAGAAGCAAAGAAGAATACACGAGTGTCCCTTATGCCTCTATTCATCTGTGCTGGAAATGGATTTAGCAAGGCATATCAGAGTTCATATTGGTGAAAAGATTTTTCAGTGTACCACTTGTAAGAAGTGCTTTAGTCAAAAGTCTGATTTGGAAACACACATGAAAACAATGCACTTCAATAAATAGGAAAAAACTTTATGCTTTTAGTGCATTGGATGATTTATTTTTATTTGCTATGATGGTAAAAAAAAAAATACACTCGGCTTATTGACTCTTTTATTTATATTACAATAGAAGATCTTTAAAATGCTAACTCTTTACCTTTTATATTAGGGGTACCGGAAAGTAATGTCATTTCAGCTCATTAATTATTCATTAGTCTTAAAAACCAATTTTTTTTTTATCTGGCATTGAAAGGTTGTTGCTAACAAGGGTGAATACATTATTGATCAAAAATAAAATCTTGATAACAAATATCAAATGTACCAAAACGACATTACTTTTCGGTCGCCCTAATAGAATTTTGTGTTATATGGATCATTTTAAGTATACCCACTAAACATTAGAATATTAGTTTAGAACACATTTAAACCATTATAAGAGATCCATGTTCTAAAGTTATTTTTATATTTTAAAAAATTTGATTTCATGTTTAGAAATTAAAAATTATCTTCTTAGTATTATTATAAAATTAATTTATTTAGATATTAATTAATTTCTAAAAAAAAGAAATTTTTTAGAGCAAAAACTTATTGCAAAACATTATGCTCCTAACATTAAATATACATAGCATTATACTTAACATTGTACTTATTGCAAAATCGTGAAAATTTTGGTTTGCTTAAATTTCGTTATTCTAACCTATTAATAATGAAACAGATAATGTATAATGTTCTTGTCAGGTTGTTAAAATTTAATTGAAATTTTTATTGCGGCTTATAGAATCGTGTCCTACAAATCTTTTACTGTATTACTCTTTTATAGTGTGCTAAAATACTACTGTCTCCTCAACCCGAAATTGTACTATAATTTTAATAAATATTGTTGTTAAATTTTTACATGTATAATTGTGATAATTTTTATGATAAATGCATGGCAATATGTGTTATTTTAATCTTTTATGTGTCATTTTGGCCAGGATCGCCTGGTTAATAGGGCATTGGATCCATGTCCAAGATGTCGTGAGTTCTATCCCCTCCAGCTGAAACTCCCCGTGTAATAAATGCTGACTGGTGCACGATAAATCTGTCAGGTCATAAAGTCCTCCTCATTCCCAAAGCAAATCGTACCTCCTAGGGGTATTGAATTGGAGATAGATTGTTCTCTGATTCAGGTCAAAATTACGATCTGTGGATGTATTAATGAATGGGTCCGTCTTGTTAACAAGTTGAGACGTATGTGTGTGGTAGAAATCAAAGTGTTGGCCATAGATGGCGCCACTGGAAAACAAGAAGCACATCCCCTTTTTGTCTTAATGGCATATAACAACAACATATGTCATTTTAGCTTTTGTAAGAAGTATAAAAAAGAAATTATTGTGGAAGAATTCTTCATAAAGGTAGCATAGTGTTAAAGTTGGTGTCATTTACTATTAAAGTATATAAAAACTTTGAACTCATCATTTCTATAAAAGTTCTATATTTTCCAAAATTTCTGNATGTGTGTGGTAGAAATTGAAGTGTTGGCCATAGATGGCGCCACTAGAAAACAAGAAGCTCATCCCTTTTTTGCCTTAATGGCATATAACAACAACGTATGTCATTTTAGCTTTTGTAAGAAGTATAAAAAAGAAATTATTGTGGAAGAATTCTTCATAAAGGTAGCATAGTGTTAAAGTTGGTGTCATTTACTATTAAAGTATATAAAAACTTTGAACTCATCATTTCTATAAAAGTTCTATATTTTCCAAAATTTCTGAATTTTGAAATATTGATAAACATAATTTGTTACCCAAAATATATACTGGTGTGCATAAATTTATTTTTGAAAAATGTGAAATTAAGAAGTATAAAAATTTTGTAAAATCTGCTATTTGTAGAATAATTGTATTCAATACTTCTTCTCACTTCAAAGTATTCTTCTCAGTACAAAAATTTCTTCTCAATACAAAGTTCTTCTTCTCACTTCAAAGTACTATTATAAATGAAGCATTTATAATGAGCTTGTTTGTAAATTTAAAAGCTAATTTAAGTATTATCTATAACTTCCATTTATATAGTTAATTTTAAGGAAGGTTTTGTTGGCAGAACACTGATTTGCTTGCAGCAGTTCTTTACGAATCACAATTGTAAGGAGTATTATTCAAACAAATAACGTGAATTAAAAAATATATTAATAAAATCAAAACATTCTTCTTTAAGTTTTAAAGCTTGAAACAAATGTTTGAATATTATTACCATTTTAACTAGAGAAAAATAAATTGTTCAAGTGTAGTATTCAAGATTGCATTGTGATAAAAAAAATCATGAAAACACTAAATCTTAGGAATCTCTTTGAATGTAATGTTTTTGAAAATTTGTACGAATATTTCCCCGTATACTATATGTGATAAATTAAACTAGGTTGTTTAACAAGAAGCATGCAAATCAAAATACGATTTTCTATTTGCAGGACCACACTGTATTAGAAAACAATTATGCAATCAAATTGTCTTAAATTGTTTGAGGTAATTAACAATTATGTAATTAAATACATCTGACTACTTAAATACCTATCAAAAGGTTTTCTCCCTGAAGAAAAACTGTGACACGCAACTAAGGTTGACCCCTACTGTGCACCACTGGTTTGGCAGAAAAAGCCCTGGTGGTGCTCAAGGGAGATAGATCAGATCAAAGGACAGTTTCACGATTCATAGGTGGTCATTTAAAAAGCTAAGCTTTTAAATTTGGGCTCTAAGTCTCATGTTTTTAAACGAAGACTCTTGTATTTTACGACTATATCCTGTTTACCTGTATATTTTCAAATTTCTCGTATTTTTTTTAAGAAATTTGAAAAAAAAATTGGTGATAAAATATCCACTGAGGGCAAAAATGCTTCTCTTATTCCTCAACAGATGTTGCTATTGCCAGTACTGATATTGAGTGTTAATAGTTTAAGTCGAGCCGTGATGACTCAGGGGATAGAGTGTTTGCCTTCCACTGAGGTGAACCCAGGTTCGAATCCCAGCGATGACTGGCTGATACGAATTCTGCATACGGCTTGCATCGACCACAGTGCTGACTTGAAATATCCTCAATGGTAGATGGATCACGGGTTAGAGTCCCCTTGTCATCAGGCTAACCATGCGTGGTTTTACTCTCCATGTAACTCAAATGCGGGTTAGTTCCGACTTAAAGTCCTCCAGGAAGGCTAATTTCTCCCAATACTTGATCCAGGAGTTCCTTTGTCTTCTGGATTGCGTTTAAAATTACAGGGCTACAGAGTTGAGCATTGGTAGTCATAAACCCAAAATTGGGTTGGCTAGTAAAATCTCCGTTATTGTATTTCTCCAATGTTGGCCGTGTAGCAAGTGCAAATTGAAACCTGCTTCCCCCAAACACATCCTTGAATTTTCCTTGGAGGACATTCTCTTGCTATCCATTTTGGAATGTGACTTTGCCAGAGCGTATGGGTTACATTGTGAAGGATTAGAAACAACAATTAAATTGTTGATGGCCTTAAAACTATTTCTGCGCAATACATTGAACAGATACCTTTTACAGTGAAACGTTGCGTAATTAATTGAAATACTTGAATTGGATATTTTGTTTAATCATAAGAAGTAATAATAACCATAAGAAGTAATAATGTATAGATAATTTTAATTAATTTAAGTAATGCTGCTTAATTTTTCAGTATGGATTCTTGATCGAAAGCGACATTGTTGTTCTTTTTGTTCTTATTCTACTCTTCTGAAGACAGATCTGACACGCCATATCAGAACTCACACTGGTGAAAAACCATTTCAGTGTTCCCACTGTGGAAGATGCTTTAATCGTAAGGACCATTTGGAAAGGCATGTGCTCAGAAGACATATGAACAAAATACAGAACAATTTCATGTGATATGTTTAAGTGCAATTAGCATGTATGAGCAGTGCTATTTTCTGAGCTGTATTTTAACATTATGGACCATTTATGTGTTCAATATAAATTGATAAGTTATTTTTCTAATAACTTTTTATTGTTTTTGAATTTTCATTCTTTTCAGACATGTTAGATATCCTTTAAAATTTTCTAAAAGACTTTTCTTTAAACAAAATATATTTGAATGCAGTCATTGGCAAATTACTAGTATATGATTTTCAATTAGCAGAACTGAGAGAAAGGAGCTCTTCTAGTCATCCAGTCAAAACGAGCATTCAAAAGGCCGCCAACGACACTAAACTTTAAATTTATTAATATCCCTCTATTTATTACTAAATTGTTTTTTTTTTTTATGTTTGGTACTAGAAAATACTTTAATAAATAAAATACAGTCGGACCTCTATTTAACGAAATCGCTAAATCCCGATTATAAGTTCGTTATATTCAAAATAGATCTTTTGAAATGTACTTAAACAACACGAAACATGTTTTAAATTCATAAACTCTAGATATAATCAAAATAGCAATTGATACACCTTTATCTTGTAAACTAGTATCTACTATTTGTTTTATAAATCTTAACCCTGAAAGAAATCTGCATGAAAGCAAGAATAGATCAAAACATTATTCAGTGTTACACTAACATACTACATACATTTTCAACTAAAAAAATTTATATAAAAAATTATAGCTGCATTTATTATAAAAGTAATTTTATACATACATTACCACATGCGTTAAGTTTAATTGCTACTGATAAAATCCGTTAATTTTGTCTGAGTTTTTCGTTTAAAATGCAAACAAAAAGGGAAACGGATTTTACTACTTTCTTATAAGTTAATTGGCTCCAAAAATTAATTCAAGGTCATTTCCCCCATAAAATGCGTTAAGTTTGAAATGTTCCTAAATATTTTGGGAAAGTGGATCTCAAAGAAAAGTTCGTTAAATAGAAAATTCACTTAGCTATTTGAATTTTTTTTTTGAAGAAGAAATTTCCAAAATGTTCTTGGTTTCTCGAAAAAAAATCGCAAAATAGAAGTCCAACTGTATACTTAAATTAAGAAAATTAATTTAATATTGAAGTTATAGGTTTTTAAAATTTTAATCTTTTTTGCTTTAAAGACAAAAGTGGGAATACTTTATTTTAAGTAATTTTTTACTAAACCATGCTATAATATCCTCTTGTATTTATATAAAAATAAGTTTCAAATACTATTTTTGATAAATATATCTTTCTAACATTTTTTTGACCACCTCCCCGAGATTGCACTGTTTTGAGAGCTATTTAATCACCAAATTAACTCAAGGCATCCCCAAAATCTAACTAAAAGTATAGAGTGCAGAGATATATTTGAATAATGGGCTCATAAAAAATAACTAATTTTTGATTTTACTGAAATGTTCAACAGTTACTGATTTTGTTGTTCGGCAAATTTGTGTGTAAAATTTATTAGAAATATTGATCTTACTTTAACAAGCTTATTATTTTATGTTTCATTTCAAAAAGAAAGATAATTTTTAATAGACTTAGTTAATGTCCTAGTCTAGAAATTGAAATTTTTCGGAACAAATTATAAAATTACTTTTTGTAGTTCACTATAGCATTATCTATAAAATGAATGGCGGGAAAGGTTTGTCTTTTTTATTCTATAATTCGTAAATACAAAGTTTGAGTATCATTTCGCATTGAAATAATTTCTCTTTTCCCCTACTATTTTTTGATAGACCCTTTCCCTGGACTTTTTTGGGGACCTTTTTCCCTGGAAAATTTTTATTTAAGTGACACCCCAAGATGTAATGCCAGTTACATTTGCGCTAGACAGAGATATTGTTCTTTATAATGATTTTATAATTTGCATGTTCCCATGCCTTCAGTCGCATTCATCATGCAATTCATAATTATAATAATGAAGCTAATTAGATTACAATAAAATGTATTCATTCTAAAATTATGTTTAATTTCTTTTCCGTTGTGCTTTTCAATTTCAATAGATATGGGACCCATTAGGTTCCACCTTCAAAGAAGGCTCACCATAGAAGATAGGGCCCAAGGGGCGATTGCAATTTCAAGTCTATGTCAGTCAGACCCTACATATGCTGATAATATGTGAATCATTTACAGGAAATTTGGCACTTTCCTGTGGTCGATAAAGTTTAGAGTCAAATGAGTTAAATTTGATTAAATCTAAAAAGTTGAAATAATTTGCAGTATTTTTTCTTCAAATTTTTATACTATTACAGTATAAATTAATCATAGTTGCAGTTATATTGTTTTCAATAACTCCTGTTAAGTTTATATTTTATATTGGTAATTGAAATTTGTATCAGTTTCTTCTTAAGAATTTCAGTATGTTTCACTTGGGAAAAAATTAAAATTTAGCTATTTTTTTTAGCTTTGCTTGAGGTTGTTGAAAACTTGAAAATCTCCTTGACTTCTGCATATTTATGTTGAATTTTGTGCTAGTTTGTTTTGCGTTAAACTTGAACAATAAAAATTTCTTTTACTTACACTCTTTAAAATTTATTAAAAATAGTACGTCATCTTGATTTGTTTTATAATAGTTTTATATTTCAATACTTTTCATTAAGTTGAGTTATTTCTTTCCTTTGTTCTGAAATGGCTATTTTGTTCAACCTAATTTTTCTATTATGCATGGCGACACTGAGCTTACAAAGTTTCACACATTTATTTCAGGAGTATTACTCAAATTGAAATTTTTGAATCTTTATGTTATTTTCACAACATTGCAGAAATGCAACTATCAATGTTTTGTCATTTGCATAATTTTGTACAAGCGCATCAAACCATTTTTTCAATAAATTTTTATTATTATTATTGCTTAAAATGGTGTATTTTAATGTATTAGCAATTTTTTTTTTTAAATTTGAGTTGTTGAGACACGAAGGCTGAATTAAATGAAGGGAAATATGAAATTCAAAATTTTTCTTTCTTGTCTTCAAAAGGGAATATTTCTCTATTTTCCCATTAAAAAAAAGAGTTAAATTGTTTCAATAATATTTGTGACAACTACTATTAAATCAAACTCATAGATAATGTCATAAAATTCAAAAACTCATAGACAATGTCATAAAATTCAAAAACTCATAGACAAAGGTTATCAAAGTGTGTACTCTGACACCATGGGTTACCGCCAAATAAAATAGAAGTGCTACAATATCTTATAATAGTAATCCTATGCTAATTTTATTTTGCTATTCAAAATGAAAAAGGTTCAAGGTAATGTTGGCAAACTTTTGGATGCATGTATTATGTTAGTATTATTTCCTGAGTGGATGAGCTTCATTTTAAACAATTTTTATTACTGGTCTTGATTTTAAAAAAATATTTTTGCTCTGCAAAGGATGAATCTGAAAAATAAATTTAGAAGTACCCATCAAAATCATGCAGTGATTCTAACAGGTTATGGGCGTGAAGTATTGCAAAATCCTTTTTATGATATTTTGTGTAAGTTCTTCATTTTGGTGTTAGCTATATATATGTATTCATTTCATTGTTTCAGAGTCCCATCAGAAAGGAAGAAATTACCAATGCAGTTTATGCAGTTATGTTAGCAATCAGAAAGGCAACGTGGAGAGACATATTCGTGCTAGACACTCTCGTGTAAAGCCATTTGCGTGTGGAATTTGTGGAAGAGCGTTTGCTCGCAGAGACGATTTGAAACGGCATTTGGTGATACATAGATGTTGAACACTTGATATCTACTTCTAATAAAAAATTTTAAGAAAAGTATGTTTTAGATTGTATTTATTTAGTGAAGGTTAAGACAGTTACACCGCCTAATAATATTAAACATTCTAGAGGCAAGACGTTTTGTCCCTTAGATAAAAGTGTCTCTCATGCAGAGAGCCTATACGGATAACTAAAAAAAGTGCAGTTTAATTTGAAATATGGTTTTACTGAGTTTAGATAACTTTTTTTTATGCAGTCTCTTTCGTAGTGCATGTCTGTTGATTTTTCTTTACCAGGAAATCATAAAAATGTAATGCCGATTCTTAAATTTGTCTAACTAACCATTTGGTGCTTTGACGTTTGAAATTTTAACGGATCAACTACTTTTGCCTTTGTATTGTTACTCCACTTATAGTAATATTCCTTGTTCTTGCTGACCAAACCAAATGAACAATACTATATCAATACTTCGATTCTTCTTAATTTCAAAACTTAGGAATGTCCATTTGAATAAGTAATCCTTTTTTTTTTCCTATCCATTCGCACATCACTTACTTGACTTCTTTATTAATTCCAACCATCTATCCTCAAATTAAGCTTTACAATTACATTCACTTTTTCTTTCTATCTTAATATTCTCCTCTTTGAAATCGTGATAAATAATGTTTAAAAATGACACATCAGCATTAAACTACACCCAGCTCACGTGAGAGCTATGAATGATAGAAATTTTCACTGTATACAAATTGGAATAATTGGCAACTCATCATTATAACTGGATAGCCCAGTCATTTCACCACTTCTTTTTTCCCAAATTATTCCTGTTTCCCACATTACCACCAAAGGAGACACCTTCTTCTTTTTAACTACAAAAATTCCTTGATTGTGAAATTCCTTTTGATGTTTTTTTTTTTTTTTTTCTTTCATGTTCTTCCTTCGAAGCACCAGTCATCAAAAGAGAGAGTTCAACATAGAAGCAAAGATTATTTTAATATTTATTTTATATTTCTTTACCTCTAATTTACATTTTGAAACTTTTTTTTTCAGTCTCCCTTGATCTCTTTGACGCAAGGGATAACGGTGTCCCTTTTACGCATTTTTTTTTCCTGACACTCTAATTACGAGAAAAAATATAGTGTGGTATTTCTTCAATTATAGGAAGAAAAAAAAACAGTCCAATAGTTTTTAAGAGAGCCGTAATGTCTCGGGGGATAGAACGTTCGAATTTTAATGAGATGAACCGGGAACGAATCCCAGCTGTGGCTGGTTGATGCAAATTCCGCATCCGGCTTGCACCGACCACAGTGCTGATGTAAAATATCCTCGGTGGTTGACGGATCATGGGTTAGAGTTACCTTGCAGGCAGGCTAACTGTTTAAAGTTTTCATGGTTTGCCTCTTCATGTAACGTAAATGCAAAATTTCTTCTTATATTTGATTTAGGAGTTCCCTTGTCTTCTGGATTGGATTCAAACTTACTAGGCTACGGAGTTAAACATTATTGGTCGTAAACGCAAACTCGGATCGACTGTTATAATATAAAATATCATTCATTAGATATTTTCAAGTCTTATAAATTCTATTAGATTATGAACCATTGTACTAACAAAGAATCAATTAGTAAATAAATTGAAATACTCTCTATTTTTTTTTTTTTTTTTTTTTTTTTTTTTTTTTTTTTTTTTTTNTTTTTTTTTTTTTTTTTTAGTTCTATTTTCCCCTTTTTTTTTTTACTCCCATTTCACCATTTTTTGCACTCCATTTTAGCTATTTGTTCATTTGAAAGTCCAATTATTCCTTTGTGGACTAATATTTTTTACGCAATATTATAGATTGAAAATGATATTTTTGGAAGGAATAAACGGAAAAAAAAATTATTAATAATTGAACGATGGTTAACTCCAGATATTTGATTCGTTTAAATAAGTTGCAGAGTTTAATAAGAAGAGATATTTGGCGCAATATCAGAGATGCTAATTGCTCCGGATTCTACGAAATATTTTTAAAAAAGGTAGAGATTTGCAAACTAAAATTTGCAGATTTTTGGTTAATTTTACCAACTTTACGAAATAGTCAATAATACCCAACTGTAACAAAGTAGTGTATCACGTAAGCTTTTGAAATATTTAAGAGTGCGGTGAGTTAAAGTCCTATAAATCAAATTTATTAAACCAAGAATGAAATATGAGACCACCCCTTAAAAATATTGACCGGCTGTCCGAAGCAAATGGGCATTTCTGCAATATACAATAAGTGAGCTATGGTGGCTCAGGGAATAGAGCGCTGGCCTCCCAATGAGGTTCAAATCCGAGCGATGTGAATTCCGCACCGACCAGAGTGCTGACGAAAAATATTCTCAGTAGTAGACGGATCATGGATTAGAGCTCATTGGAGGATCAGGCTAAACATGGGAGGTTTTCGTGGTTTCCTCTCCTTGTAACGCAAATGCAGGTTAGTACCATTAAAAAGTCCTCCCCGAAGGCAAATTTCTCCTAATACTTGATCTAGGAGTTCCTTTGTCTTCCGGATTGGGTCACAAGGCTACGGAGTGTTGAACGTTGGTAACCGTAAACTCAAAATTGTGTTGGCTGTTCAACGACGGTATAGTACTTGTATATATATGCAATAAGTGAAATTAACATTAAGAGATGCAAACTTTCGATCATTCTCCTGACTAAACTATTGGGACCATGTTTTTTCCAGATTTCAACAGCACCCTTTTTTTCATGAGGTCCAGAATCCAAACCCATTTAAGATAAATCATGTTTATGTAAAAAAAGAATGTTTTTGTTTCTTAAAATATCGTCCTCACTATTTATTTAGCAACTTTAAAAGTTTTTTCCTATATCATTCTCATTGCATTTTAAAATATGACAATTCGATCAAAAGTCATTCAAGCGTTCTTTTTTTTTTTCCACATTGTACACACACCATGTATTCTTAGTATTTATTTTGTTATGCTATAAAACTATCTAAAAAAATGTGTTCGAGTTCTCTGAAAATCATCAATCAATCGAGCACAAAATCGACATACAAATTGAAATAGATATCGACTACTTACTCAGCTGAAGCTTCGAAAAGAAAAAGAAAGCATTTTGTGAATAGCTTCAAATAAAAATTGAATCAATGTTAATAGAAAGCAACTGGTAGCAGTTGCTTAGCAACGAAGTTCCGGACTAGACGGCGTCTCCGGGACAGATCAGAATCTTCACTTCTTGCTCTCGCGCTTCATTTAAAGTCCGGAACCTTCTATCGTTTT